GTGCGCAAGTTCATCGTGGATTATTTCTTCGAGGAGAAGCAGAACCTCCGCTTTGACCTGTGAGTGGAAGCTGGAGCTGGAGCTGGAGCTGGGAGGTGGGCTGCGGGCCCTGTGGTGAGGCAGGAGTTTCCCCCACCAGGGAAGGTGGGGGGAGCTGAGATATTAGAGTGGGCCCAGAGATGGCCTGGGATAAAAGTGACAACTAGCTAAAGTCCATCCCCACCCTTACCAGAGATGGAGCAAAGGCACCTCCCCCCGATTTGTCCCAGGTAAGTGGGGGAGGGCACTGGGCCGGCTGCCTGGCCTTGGGCAGTGTCCACGGAGGGCAGATCCTGGGGCCAACCCTCAGCTCTACCTCTGTGAGCCCTTTTCTCCCCTGGTCACCAACAGGGACCCACTGACCTCTCCTGTCAAAGTGCGCTTTGGGGAGGGCCCCCGAGTGTCCCCTGCTGCAGAAGTAAGCTAGCCAGTGGGGCTCGGGCATCTAGTGTCCAGCAGAAGGTGGGGTGCCCCTGGCCTGACATTAAAGATTGGGTGGGATTTTGGTCTTGGGGAACAGGAGGGGAGTCCGTGGTGTTGTTTTTATGGGGTTTGGGCTGGTTAGAAAGGTCTGTGTCCCAGAGAAGAGTGGACAGAGTGGGAAAGAAGGGGGTTTGGGGCCTGAGAGAGCAAAGGAAAATTCAGCGGAAGGAAATGACTTGGGAGGGAGTGGTGGGAGGAACTGAGGCTGAGCACAGTCAGTGCAGCCCGTCGTAGAGAAGTCACCTCGTGGTATCTGGGAGGGGGAAAGTGCTCAGAGCGGTGGGCTGGTAAGAGAATGACTGCCCCTCAGCTGGAGCCACCTGGCTTGGCATGGCTATCAGGGATGCTAGAGGAAGGTTGCAGGTGAAGCTGCAGGTGAGCAGGCTGCAGGTGAGCAGGCTGCAGGTGAGGGGGGGAGCCCAGCTGCAGGGTCAGCCTGCCCACAGCCAGCCGAGGCGAAGGTGTTACTGTCTCCCTCCCTCTTGAGTGACCAGGCCCAAGGACAAGCTGGGCAGGCCTGGGTAAGGTGAGGCAATAGGGAGGGCACTGGGCTCCGTGGCAGCCATGGCCTGGCTGGGAAGATGGGAACAGGGAGTGAAGGGTAAGGTGGCTCAGCCAACTGTGAACCAGCCAGGGTGGCAGGGCTCATTTATTTTATTTTTTCAAATTTTAATGGGGTGTAACATATATACAGTGAAGTGCATAAATCTTAGAGTCTACTCCATGAGAAAAACGTTTTTACATCTGTTTACACCTGTGTAACCATCACCCAGGTCAGGAGACAGAACACGTCAGGCACCCAGAAGTCTCCCTTTTGTGCCTTCCAGCCGTTATTTCTAGAAACACCCAGTGTGTGAGAGCCTGTTTTGGGGGAGCAAGGGCCTAATTCAGCTCCAGGACCCAGGCAGGGCCGTGTAGGCCGCCCTCGGCTCCCTTCACCTTTCTCTGTATCCCTGCAGATACGACGTCGACTCCAAGAGCCCCGATTTATCCAAACACGTGAGTTCTGCCAGCGATTCCATGAGGTTTCTTGAACGCCACCCTCTCGGGCGGCCTTGGGCTTCGCCGTGGCGGAGCACGTGTCCGATGCCGCTGCCTGGCATTTCGGAGCCCTCACGCTCCCGGGGCCGGGCGGTGGGGGAGGTGGGCCAACTCTGAGCAGAATGGGTGACACTGGCCTTTTCTGTCCCCTGGATATGCAGGATTTCCTGGGCCAGGCCTTCTGCACCCTTGGAGAGATCGTGGGGTCCCCTGGGAGCCGCCTGGAGAAGCCCCTCACGTGAGTGTGGAGGGACACGGCCCGTCTGGGTGGCTTCCCCAGGGATCGGCCCACGTCCCGCCTGCCCTGCCCAGGGCTGGCTCAGGGCGGGGCAAAGCAGTTGTGACGGGCATTCGCAGGGCAGTTAGGAATAGGGTGACCCCTGCCCTGACAGGGCCTCTAACCCTGTTATCTTGGAAGGACCCCGGCTGGGTTATTAGAGCCCCATGCCCCTGGGAAGGCCGAGACACTATCCGGTCCATTCCCACCCGACCCCTGTCATTGTGTGGGGGAAGAAACTAGCCCAGAGAGGAGAAGCGACTTGCCCACAGCCACACAGCCACACAGCCAGGAGGTAGGAGAGCTGGGATTTGAACCCCGGGCTCTCCTCATATAGCACGGGCCGGAGATTGGTCACAGCTTGTAGGCCAGAGCCGCGTCCAGTGAGGCCCTTCCCATCCCACCTGCCCCTGACGGTCTGCACCGCAGGATCCTCAGGTGACTTTGGGGAGCTGTCTCTCTGAGCAGGCTCTGGGATGAGGACCGCCACGGCTTCTCGCAGTGGGGCCTGAGGGTGTCCTGGCCAGGCGGCGAGGGCGACTTCTCTTGTCCTGTTTCTCAGGAAGCACCAGGGACAAGGCCCAGGAAAGAGAGGCCTGCAGACTGCGACAGGCGGCCAGGCCACAGGGCAGAGCGGTCAGGAAGTTGGGGTCAGGCTGGGCCAGGCGTCCGTCCCCTCACCATGATCAGTAGCTGCAGTGCGTGTGTGTGGTGCGCGGCGTGTGTGGGGGTGTGGTGTGTGGT